AATCCCTTTGAGAAAAGAACATGTTTCTGGTCCATGGAAATCAGAATTGTCTCACTGACTGTCACTAGGAGATAACTTGATACTCTCCATATCTTTTGTTTAAATATAAATACTTTCAACTGAAGAGTGGGATCAAATTTTTCATAAATTTAAATAAAAGGAAAAATAAAAAATAAAGCAATTTTGGACCGAATACTCTTCAATATCTTCATAAATGATCTAGATGAAAGAATAGATGGAGCATTCATCAAATACAGATGACACTTAGCTGGCAGGAAGAGCCAACACATCAGAAGACAAGCTCAAGATCCAAAAAGGCCTTGACAGACTTGAACACTGGGACTTGTCTAACAAAATGGAATTTAATGTAGATAAAAGTAAGGTTCTACACTTAGGCAAGAAAAACCAACTGTATAGGTACAGGCTAGGTGAAACTTGGCTTAATGCCAGTAATTGTGAAAGGGATCTTGGAGTCCTAGTGGATAATCACTTAAATATGAGCCAATAATATGTGGCAGTAGCCAAAGAAGCCAATGCAATCCTACACTGTGTTAATAGAGGGATAGAATCAAAATCATGTGAAGTTCTGGTACTGCTTTCCAAAACCTTAGTAAGACCACCCTTGGAATACTGCATCCGGTTCTGATCACCAGAATCACAAGATATTGAGCCTCTGGAAAGAGTGCAGAGAACAGCAAAAAACATGAGTAGTGGATTGGCAGCTAAAACATGAAGAACCATTACAGGAATTGGGTCTGTGTAGTCTAATGAAAAGAAGGACTAGGGGAAACAGGATAGCAGTCTTCCAGTATTTGAGAGGCGCATACAAGGATGAGGTGGCCAAACTATTTTCCAAAGCATCAAAAGGCAAGATGAGAAACAGTGGATGGAAACTAACCTAGGAGAGGAACAACCTAGAACTAAGCAGAAATCTAACAGTGAGAACAATCAATGCAATAACTTATCTTCAGAGATTGTAGCTGCTCCACCATTTGGAGGCTTTTAAAAAGAGACTGGACAATCATTTATCGCAAATGGTATAGGGTTTCCTGCTGGAGCAGAAGGTTGGACTTGAAGACCTCCAAGATCCCTTCCAACTCTGTTATTCTATGTTCTAAGAAGCAGGGAACCACCAGTTTGGTCTAATGGTTAGGGCACCAACTAGAAAGCAAGAGCCTATGAGTTCAGATACTTCCTTAGCCATGAAAGCCATCTGGGTTACCTTGGGCAGTCACTCAGTCAACCCAATCCACATCATAATGTGGGAAAAATAGGAGGAGTAAGGTAGGATATATTCCCTGCCTTATTTGTAAAATAGTAAAGGTAGAAAGTGTATGTGTGAATAAATTATATAAATAAGAAAGAGAATGTTCCAAGCCTTGTTCTTTCTTCTTAATTCTAACTGGTGTTAGAATAATAGACACAGTACAAAGTCTGAAATTCAAAAGGATGAAAGCTCTTTTATTGACAAAATATAACAGCCCTATCAACAAAGAACAGCCTTAGTTTATTATAAAACCCAGTTCTCTTCCAGGAGCCGAAAAGAAACATTAAAAATAAAATTTAAGCATACCAGTAGGTTATAGTCATGTTGAAAGGAAACCTATTTTAGAAATAAATGTCTGCTTTGTTGTCGTAGATGTTTACAGAGAATCCTTTATCATAGATAATAATAGAGATCTTTGTTGCAAATTGGAATATATTTTTGAATAAAGAGACAATATTTGAAGAGACAATATAATTGACTCTTGAAATTTTAAAGGGTAAATTAAAAAATAATTCCTAAAATAATCAAATTTCCAGTTGTTGGAAAAAAGCTTTGCATATATCTAAGATCATAGGTATGGCATAGATTTACATCTATATATGGCTATAACTCTATGAGGATCTCAATTGAGAAAAACATAAAATAAAAATGAAATATAATTTTAATGAAATTCATGTATGTCAATTAAAACCTGTTGAAAATAATAATTGAAAGTACATTGAAAATAAATCAGTGCTAAAATGCTACAACCATTATTAAACATGTCTATAAGTACAGGTGAAACTTGAAAAATTAAAATATCGTGCAAAAGTTCATTTATTTAAGTAATGCAATTTAAAAGGTGAAACTAATATATGAGATAGACTCATTACATGCAAAGCAAGATAGTTCAAGCCGTGATTTGTCATAATTGAGATGATTATGGCTTACAGCTCATGCAAACCCCAAATCCACAATCTCAGAAAATTAAAATATTGTGAAAAGGTTCAATATTCTAGGCTCAAAGTGTCCCACTCTAATCAGCTAATTAAGCCATAACACCTGCAAAGGGTTCCTGAGCCTTTAAATGGTCTCTCAGTCTGGTTCAGTAGGAAGCACAATTATGGGAAAGACTGCTGACCTGACAGTTGCATAGAAAACCATCATTGACACCCTCCATAAGGAGGGAAAGCCTCAAAAGGTAATTGCAAATGAAGTTGGATGTTCCCAAAGTGCTGTACAAAGCACATTAATAGAAAGTTATGTAGGAGGGAAAAGTGTGGAAGGAAAAGGTGCACAAGCAGCAGGGATAACCACAGCCTGGAGAGGATTGTCAGGAAAAGGCCATTCAAAAGTGTTGGGGACTTTCACAAGGAGTGGGCTGAGGCTGGAGTCAGTGTATCAAGAGCCACCACACACAGACGGATTCTGGACATGGGCTTCAAATGTCGTATTCCTCTTGTCAAGCCGCTCCTGAACAACAAACAATGTCAGAAGCGTCTTACCTGGGCTAAAGAAAAACAGACCTGGTCTGTTGCTCAGTGGTCCAAAGTCCCCTTTTCTGATGAGAGCAACTTTTGCATCTCATTTGGAAACCAAGGACCCAAAGTATGGAGGAAGAGTGGCGAGGCACACACTGCAAGATGCTTGAAGTTCAGTGTGAAGTTTCCACAGTCTATGTTGATTTGGGGAGCCATGTCATCTGCTGGTGTTGGTCCATTGTACTTCATTAAGTCCAGGGTCAACGCAGCCATCTACCAGGAGATTTTGGAGCACTTCATGCTTCCTTCCACAGACGAGCTTCATGGGGATGCTGACTTCATTTTCCAGCAGGACTTGGCACCTGCCCACACTGCCAAAAGCACCAAAACCTGGTTCAATGACTGTGAGATTACTGTGCTTGATTGGACAGCAAACTTGCCTGACCTGGACCCCATAGAGAATCTATGGGGCATTGCCAAGATAAAGATGAGAGACATGAGACCGAACAATGCAGAAGAACTGAAGGCCGCTATTAAAGCATCCTAGTCTTCCATAACACCGCAGCAGTGCCACAGGCTGATAGCTTCCATGCCTGGCCGCATTGAGGCAGTAATTGCTGCAAAAGGGGTGCAAACCAAGTACTGAGTACATTTGCATGCTTATACTTTTCAGAGGTCTGATATTCTATGTACAATCCTTGTTTTATTAATTGCATGTAATATTCTAATTTTCTGAGATTGTGAATTTGGGGTTTTCATGAGCTGTAACCCATAATCATCACAATTATGACACATCACAGCTTGAACTATCTTGCTTAGCATGTAATGAGTCTATCTCATATATTAGTTTCACCTTTTAAGTTGCATTACTGAAATAAATGAACTTTTGCACGATATTCTAACTTTTTGAGTTTTACCTGTATAAGATAAGGTTAATTAAGATATTTTCATGAATGAAGGCAAATATATGTGTCCCAGGATAATGTTGCAGAATCCAATCTGTGTTGGTCATGAGGACCAGAGATTTTGACTTCTGAGCTTTCAGACTCATACTGGTCCATCCTCCAGGATGGCCTCCAGCAGAAGCCGAAAAGCTTGGAAGATTAAACTTCTGGTCCCAGTGACTGATCCAAATTGGACCCTACAAGACATTTTCAGTTTTGATAAAATTCAAACTCTGCTTCTAAGAAATTTAATTTTCTTATCGAATCAAATTATTGTAAATTATAGATAGTCCTTGCTTAGTCATTCATTCAGCAATCATTCAGAATTATGACATTGCTGAACTAATGGCAGCCACAACCAGTTCTTGAAGTTTTGGCCATTCAATACCCCTGCAATCATAAATAAAAATTTAGGTGTTTGGCAACTGGCCTACATTTACAGCTGCAATGGTGTTTTTCAATTCCTGCTATCCATCTGTATCCCCCCCATCTTTGTCTTTTTGGAAGCTCTGCATTCCACTGCCACTCCCCTCAACAGACCTTTACTTCTTTCTCTCAGTGTTGGCCCAAATCCAGTGTTGGGTGAGGGTGCAGCTCTGGGATGTGCGCACAGTGAGTACAGCAGGGTGGTGAAGCCTTTTCTGCTAAAAGGTGCTTGCCAGACCAAATTAGGACGAGGCAGCAGGACAGAGCCAGCAAAGGTTGCAGTAGGGCCAACAATTCCCTGGGTAATTATCAATCTTATACACCATTACCACCTGTGCCATCACTATGGCTTCTTTACCATCCCTCTTTCCTCCCTTGATGGCCCAGCAAGCTCCCTTTGATATATGAGAGTCTACATTATTGTTCTTGAGCTACATTATTGTTCTTACTGAACACATCCTAGAACCATGCCTTCAGCTAGAATCTGGATCCTGGGCCAGCAGAAGAGGGAAGAAGGCAGTGAAGGTTAAAAGAGGATGGCAGGGGTAGTGTGCTGGGTGAACACAAGGGCGGAGAATGGTAGACATGGAAGTTGAGGTGGAGGGAAACAATATACTAGTAGTACTGTACAGCCTCATTTTCTGAATGGAGCTTGCCAGGCCCAACTGGAGATGGAGCAGCAGGCCCAAACCAGCTGTTCACACAGGACAAGAGAAACATGAGGTAACTGCCTAACTACTGCAACCAAGATAACGTCTCTTAAGTGGAGTATGATGTTTCCCCTAATAACTGCTTTGCTTAGTGATGAAAATTCCAGCCCCAATTAGTTGTTCAATAGGGACTAACTATGTCAGAAAAACAGCAACGTTATTTTTAATTTATTTTTACTATTATAATTTTCAGAGAAGAAACATTCCAATGAAGCCACCAGATGATCTCAAAGTAAGTTGCATTGCATCTCTAAACCTCTTGTTAAAAAAAATACTGTTTCTTTACTGTAAATGGTTCTGAAAATATAAAGGAAAGATTTCATTCATGTAATAAATGAAGATAATAGTTGTATTATTGTAAAATCGCTTACTCCAGTATTCCTGATTTTTAGAACACTTTTAACGCTTATTTCAGGAGAAAAGAATGTTATCTACTTTTTACATGATTTTTCCTATTAAACTATTTGAAATCCCTTAAATAAAAGTCATACTATTTTCTTGCTGTAACTCTAGTGATGCAAAAATGATAGTTCCATAAGGAAAATGATTATGAGGTATAAATTAGCTTTAAACGTGATGTTTTTAGGTTCCATCAGTCCTCATAAAAGAAGAACATAAGTTATGTAATACTTGCCCAGATGACTCCAAGCAAAATATGGTAATATTTCTTTTTAAGTTTAATTTTTTCTTAACTTATTATTTCAAATAGTTGGTTATTAGCATTTTCTACCTCCTTTTTAATTTTCCTTTCCTTTTTTCTTTTAAGATTACAGGCCTTATTCTTTGTTCCTCTCTCTCACTCTGTCTCCCCTTCCCTCTCACATACACACAAACACACACACAGAACACATGCAGGTCATAGGTCAGCATCTGATCCAGGTCAAGAATATAGGTAGTCCTTGACTTACAACTGTTCATTTAGTGACCATTTGTAGTTACAATGGGACTGAAAAAAGTGACTTAAGATCATTTTTCACACTTCTGACCATTGCAGCATCCCCAGGGTCATGTGATTTACATTTGGATGCTTGACAACTGGTTCATATTTATGGTTTCACTGTCCCTGGGTCATGTGATTGTAAAGTCAATGGGGAAGCCAGTTTCATTTAACAACTGTGTTAGTAATTTAAGAACTGTAGTGATTCAAATGTGGCAAGAAAAGTTATAAAGTGGGACAAAGCTCACTTAACAAATTACTTACTTAGCAATATTAATTAGCTTGCACATAGTAGTTCAAATAGACTTGGAGTAAAACTGAGGGGTTTTTGCACATAAATATACTATCCACAAGCTCAAACTAATCAGTTTCATATGATTTATATGTACAAGGGATGTTACATGTGTTACAGGCCCAGAAAAGATGATAATTATATCTGTGTCTATTAAAATTTTGTGGACTCCTTGATTGACCAAAGCAAGGATGGGCCATGTATGGCCTATCAGTGTTATCCATGATTTCTAAGGTGAATGTAAGAGAAATATGTAGATCTGAATGAAAGAAATTTGATCTTGTCAAGTTGATGACTCAATGCTAGAAGTTATGGTTAAGGAACAAAAAGGCAAAAATGTATCTCAGAAAGTATGAATTGTAATTTCATTGGTGTAATGTAGGTTGTATATATGAAAGTAGGATGATCCAGTTTTTAGTTAGGAGTTGTGTTGAACAAACATTTCAAAATGATTCAGCGAACATAAAATTTATTCCTTAATAAGAAAGTTGTTGCAAATAGCATTTTACTGAATTTTTAGCCCTAGATATGCAAACAAAAAATAATTGCATATTTGCATAGTAAATATTTTTTCACATTTGGCTGCTGTACAGAAATAATGAAACATTCATGTTGTTGAAATGTTATCTACATTTTACTAAATACTGAATTTATAACAGCTTTTAGTAATGCATATTATAGCTAATTAATCCATTGCATAGGTATAATTTTCTTTCTTTTTTCCAGATTGGAGAAGCCATTGGAGATAATAATAATTCTGTTTTGGACTTTTTATCTATGAAAACTTATTCAGATATGTCACTTGATATATCCATGTTGAGTTCATTAGGTAGGTGTTCTCATGCAATAGATTAGCACGGAAGGTAAAAATACAGTGCTATATCTATTATCTATTCCATTGGTGCATTAAAATGTTTGGGAATTACTGAGTTTTGACATAAACTTTATAATATATATGCCTTTTAATGCTTTGCTATGAAAATCATGGGTTCTACTCTAGATGGCAGCACCTGGAGGGAGACAGAACTATAAAAATGATGTAATATCTGCATATGTTCTTTGTGGTTATAAATAACACATGTGTGTATGAATTAATGAAAGGGGTGGTGCATTCTGAGAAAAACAGTGTCTACAGATGTTCATAGCTTCAGGTTGGTTGTCAGTTATCTAAACCAATGCTCGTCTATTCTGTTTAAATTGTGAAGTCGAGCAGCCTATGACTGTGCTCCCAGTACTAATATATGCTTACTTACTTTATTTCATCTAAACTGCTGGGAAGAATGCTCAGCTATAACAGCTCCTTTTCTTAAAAAAGAACACGTAGAAGATCTTGCCACAGTTTCAATTTTCCTTGTGCATCCAATAAGTCCTTATGTTTAATCATCTTAGTAATATCCAGATTATTTGGGTGGATCATCACTTCCATTGTTGAAATCCAGATTGGTATCTTTAAATAATGTTTTTTCCTTATTTTCTTCCAATTGGTCAGTAATGCATCTCTAATTAAATGTCTGTGAAAGTATTTCTGGGTGGTTTTCCTGATATCCCATAAAAAAGCATGCCACCCCCTCTGTAAGTCATGGCCTTCTAAAACTAATATTGTCTTGTTTATTAAATTCATCCATTCCTTCAACCATACTAAGGAGGCCGCATTATAGTACAACTCCCAGTTTGGAAGGGCCATTTCCCCCCCCCCCCCGCCCGCGCTCTTGATATCTTGCATAGCCTTTAAATTTATTCTCGGTTTTTTCTTTTGCCAAATGAATTTTGTAATTATTTTGTTAAGTTCTTCAAAATACTTTTTGTGTACTTTAATTGATATCATCTGAAATATATACAGAAATTTTGGGAGAATAGACATTTTAATCGTAGCTATCCTACCTAATAATGTGTGTTGCAGTTTACCTCATGTTTCTAAATCCTTCTTTACCTTTTGCAATAGTTTGTCATAATTATTTTTCTTTTAGTGTTTTACAATGTGCTGTCAGCCATATTCCCAAGTATTTAACTTTTTTATCACTTGAAATCCTATGACCTTTTCTAATTCTAACTTCTGTTTTCCTGTTAGATTTTTAGTCATTAATTTTGTTTTCTTTCTGTTAATTTTTAATCCTGCAATTACTCCAAATTGTTCTAATTCATTCATCAGTGTTTTTCCTCTTTCAGTTGGCTCTTCGATAAAAAAAATCACGTCATCTGCAAACGCTTGCAGCTTATATTCTTCTTTCTTAACCTTTAATCCTTTTATGTCTGTTTTATTAACCTTTAATCCTTAGTAATGTTTCCAATGATAATACGAAGAGCAGGGGTGAGGGTGGGCAACCCTGTCTGACTCCTTTCTCTATTTTAATTGGGCAGGTATATTCCCCATTTATCATGATGTTCACCTGTTGTGTATCATAAATAGTAGTTATAATATTTTTGAATTTGGTGCCTAAATTCATATTATAAATTCTTTGGATTAAAAATTGCCAATTCAAGTTATAGAAGGCCTTCTGTGCATCTAAAAACATAAGGGCTATTTGTTTTTTGGGGTGGGCTTCATAAAATTCCAGGACATCTAGTACTATTCTTAAATTATTCTTGATTTGTCTGTTCGGGAGAAATCCATTTTGGTCTTGATGAATAAAATCATTCAAAATTATTTTTAATCTGTTTGCAACAATAGAAGCAAATATTTTATAATCCGTATTTAACAAGGAAATTGGCCTGTAGTTTTGTATATATTGGGGGTCGAAATCTTCCTTCAGGATCAGCAAAATCAATGCGTCCGTCCATAAGTCTGGCATTCTGGCTGCCAATAAGACATTGTTAAAAACTTCCACCACAAGGGGTCCTATTAGTTCACCTATTGCCTTATATAATTCCCCTGGGACCCCATCTGGTCCCGGAGATTTACTATTTTTCTGGTTCTCTATTGCTGTTTTCAATTCAGGCCAAGTAATACCTTTGTTTAATAATTCTTTCATCTCTTCCCCAATTACTTCCAATTACTTTATCTTTCATTTTATCTAAATATCTTCTTGGCCTATCCTCATTGATCTCTTCCTTTTTATATAAGTCTTCAAAATACTTGTGGGCAATTTCTTTTTTCTGTTCTATCCCCTTTTGTGTATCTCCACTTCCATCTATTAATTGGTAAATCATTTTTCCCCCTTTTTTAAGTCTATAGAACATCTCCCTGGCTTATTAGCGTGCTCAAAATAAGTTTGTCTAGTTGAATTCAAATTTATAATCATTCTTGTTCAATTCAATTCAATTTGTGTTTAATTACTGTCATCTGGTTTTGCAATCTTGAATCATTTGGGGTATTTTGTAATTGAATTTCTAATTTTTTAATTTTTTGTTGTAGTTTATTTTGCTGGCCGTATTTTTCTTTATTCCTCTTGGCATTATAAGAGATTGTTATACCTCTTATTACTGCCTTCATTGTGTCCCAGATACTTTGTTTCGTAGTTGTTCTACTGATATTTTCTTTTAAGAAACAATTTAATTCCTCCTTAAGTTTGTTCATATATTCTTTTTCTCTAATTAACTGCGTATTTAGTGCCCACCTTTTCCTGGTTTTTTTTTTCTACCTTTCCAAATCATCTGAGTTGGATTGTGGTCTTCCCATTCATTAGGTAAAATTTCTTTTTTTTTCATTTGCTATTTCCCCATTCATCCATGCCATGTCAATTTGTGTCCATATTTGGTGGGGATTTGAATAAAATGTAAACTGTTTTTTCTCAGGGTTTAACCTTCTCCATATATCAATCAAATTTAACTCCCTCATCATTTCCATACATGTTTTTGGAAGCTCTCCTTTTTTCCCCTGTTCCTGCCCCCAATACTGTGGTCTTTTTGATAATCAGCAATAGCATTAAAATCCCCTATGATACAAATATTTCTTTTTTCCATTCCTACTATTTTTCCAAAACTCTTTTTGCTCTCCATTTGGGGCATAGATTACCACTAAAAGGATTGGGATAGCATTAATCCAGATCTGCAAAACCAGACCAAGGAGTACAAATTGATAGATGGGCATATCTTCAGATTCAGAGTAGATACAAACAGGATAAGAAAGAATTTGGAATCAGTAATAAACTCCAGCAACTAGACAAAATTCTATTAAGCCCAGATAAAAAAAATAACAAAATTTTATAATTATTTACTAGAGGCAGAATTAGAGGAAGAAATTGTCAAAGGTAATATGATAGCCTGGAGTAGGAATATAGGACGTAGTATCACCTTAATAGAATGGGAGAAGGTATAGAGTAGAAGCAACAAAATCACAAAATCGGCAGCCTACAAGGAAAATGCCTACAAGATGCTTTACAGATGGCACCTTCCCCCCTCGAGATTAGTGAAAATGCACCCAACATGAGTTCGAATTGCTGGAAATGTAAAAAAAAGGAGGGAACTTTCTTCCATATGTGGTGGTCTTGCATAGAGGCTCAAAATACTGGCAGAAAATTAGAAAATGGTTGGAGGAAATAACAATAGAACAGATCGAATTTAAACCAGAATTCTTTTTATTAGGGATTTTTAATAAAAAACTCTCAAAAAAAGTGAAGTACACAACAATACATATTTTGACAGCGGCCAGACTAACCTTTGCACAATGTTAGAAGCAACCTCATATTCCATCAGAGGAAATGATTATTCAAATTAGCAAATTGAGCAGAGATGGACAAATGAACTTTGGCATTAAAAGGAGAAGACACATCAATGTATTACGACAGGTGGAATTGTTGGTACGAATGGATGGAAAAAAGATCGAGTAAACAAGGGCAAAAGAAAATAGGTTGTAATTGTAGTAGTGACTATATATATATATATATATATATATATATATATATATATATTCGCACAAGGAGTAATTGTATAGAGAGTATAAAATAAGGTTGAAAATAAGGTCCCACAAACTGTCGAGGACGAAATGTTTTTTAATTGTTTTCTGAATTTTCTTTTCCACTTTTCTTTCTTTATTTCTTTTTTCTCTTTCACATGTATGTATTGTTTGTCTGTTTTAATTGTAAAATTAATAAAGTTTATTTTTTTAAAAAAGAACGTGTAAATCAAGTCATAAAACAGAAAAACATACTAAGGAAAACTTTGCATTTTTAGCAGCTGCACAATATAGTATCTGATAGGATTTTATCTGGAAGCATCTTTGTGTGAAATTAAGAAGTTTGAAAAGTTTTAACTTAAAAAAAATAATGGTTTAATTTGGGGTTCTACTTAGACCATCAATAGGTCATCACATATATTATGGTGATCACAGGTACAAGTTGCTGATTCCTAATTTTATGTGGTCCTTAAAAGATTCAGATGTTGATGTACTAGTTCATGTAAGGAGGTGATTGATATGTTGACAATGATAAAATAACCACTAGAAATCAGCATACCTTTATGAATACAATTAAAGCAATTTCATTTCATTTTTTGTTGGATAATTTCATTAATAGAATGTGGAACATAATATATCTTGATCTCATTTAGATATTTGATAAATACTTTCTTACAGTCTCTCCAGCAGTTTAATTAAATGAGTAGATAATTAAGTGGATCATAACAATCTGGAAAATTGCATTCAAATTGTATATAAATAAGGATATCAGAAATACTCTGTTTAAAATAATTGTTTTTTAAAAATCAGGAAGGATCAGAAGCTGGGAAGTATCTATACAACTTAGTCCCTATTACCCTCATTTTTATGTTTTATTCAGCATATATTAGTTTTATCTACCTTTATATAAGACTGATGGAGTAACAAATCTTTTTGATTTTAACTTCTTAAACCATTTCAAATTCATTTGGTACTCAATAATCTAATGTGGTTGACAGGTAAAGTAAAGAAAGAAGTTGATCATGATGACAATCACTTACACTTGGATGAAACAACTAAATTATTACAAGACCTTCATGAGGTACAAACCGACCGAATAGGATCCAGGCCTTCCTCCAACCTTAGTTCCCTCTCTAATGCTTCTGAAAGGGAACAACATCACCTAGGTAAATGTATTTAACAGTATAATTACCAAACTCTTTTCATTTTCATTAAAAGTTGTTGTAAGATTATGAGGGTATCAAGTATATTCATGTTGTGTAAGTAAAGCTGGTTTCTTTGTCTTTTTAACATCTAGCATCTAATAAATTAATATTCTTTCTCATTCCCACCTTCCCTATCTCATAGATTTTTTTATCATAAATGCATATTAGAAATATTTCAAAAGGTAATATAAACACTGACTATTAAATAAATACATATTGATAAATTTGACCAAAATGCAGATAATTATGTATTTTTATTTAAAAATAGATTTAATATTATTTTACCAAGTTAATTGAGATGGCCCCCTCAATTCCAAATAGACATTTTAAGTTTATAGACATTCAAACAAAATTATTGGTAATATAGAGATATATAAAATATGTTATAAAAGTTATATTTTATAGTAAAACAGTTTATTAATCTTGGAGTTTATTATTCATGGATAGTTCCATCATTCCAGAATGCTACTGAAAAGTTTCTCCTTCTAATGATTACTGGCTCACTTTTAATAAAAGAAAGTAAACATGTTAGATGAATGGAATAGTAAATTTAATTATGAGGCAGAACCTTGCAACATAAGAAATGCTGCAGTGATGTTAATGTGACCTGCCTGCTAAATCTCTGAGAGCATTTATTTGTATAAAAATTGAAATAATAGACCAGGACTTCTCCAGTCACCTTTCAATCATACCTATGTAGAAACAGCATAGTCATCTCCAGTCAGGGCATTTATTGTTATATGTCTGACTGGAAAAATCCTGGTCTGCCATTTTCTATAGCAATTATGTCATAGCAGACCAGCAGCACAAACCAAAATGGTCATGAAGAAAGTTGAAATAAGGATCATACCTACAGGCAGAGGAGCTAAAAGCTGTCAGTAGGAACTGGCTAGATTTTAGCACTGCTATTCCATTATAACAATTGCCACTGAAAGCTTTTATCAGGAGAAAATACACAAAAACTCCAAGTTAGCTAACCTCACTATTCTGAAGATAAGAGGAAAGCTGTAGTATGTAGACAGGTCCTTAAAAAAATATATTTCTGAGCCCAAATTCAGTTGATTATGAATGCATCTCAGAAATCATGTCTTGGTAAAACTGCATTGTGAATTAGTTCTCTAATGCTACATACATCTAATTTGCTTCTTTCTCAAATAAACAGTTATGCTATATAGTCTAGATAGCAGTAACTTAATAAATGCTTATGGCTTATTATATTAAAACTAATTAACTAATATTTCACCTTGTTTAAAGCTACTAATTCTAGATGCAAGCATCTATCACTTCAATTACCAAAATAACTCTAGGTGGATTATACATTAAGATTAAAATAACCATAACATTATAAAACACAAAACAAAAGTAATGCATAGTCATACATTATGGAGGATAACCAACATTAAACAACTATAGCAATCAAGATTTAATTATCAGAGAGTAAGTCATGTATCCTATTGTGAAGTCTTCTAGAACAACTAAGTTTTCACATCTTTATGAGTGCCCTGTAAAAAGGCTCAGGAATACTGTATTCCACAGAGTAATGAAGTAGTTGCACTTCCTAGGTCCGACAGGATTGTAGTGCTTTAAAGCCTGATTTGGTGTTTATCAACTCTGATTGGGCAGAGACAGCAGAAGAAATATAGTAATTGATACAATAAAATGTAGTAAAAGATACAGGTAATTAAGTCCCAAGCAATGTGGAGCTCTATAGGTGATAACCAACACCATGAATTGTACCAGATTATGATATAACCAATGCAGTTTGCACAGCAGATACGTTTCTGGAGAAAAAGAGGAAATACCCAGAAACATTCATTTGGCTGCAATCAGTCACAGCTTTCACATAGTTGGCAGTTGACCATCCCTGTAATTGACCTTGAAGAGCACATTGTAATAATCCAAGGAGAAGATACACCACAGCATGAGTAACTGTAAGAATACTCTCCCATTCAAGAAAATAATGCAACTAGCACCTCAGATGGATTTATTTATTAAGTTTCTGTGCTTCCCATTTCACAGTTTAAGGTTGTTCTGGGTAGATTTATGCAAAAGCCCTTCTGGGGCGTGGCTGCCTCCTGCTTGTTGAATCTGCCATTGAAAAGTCAGGCAGAACCGATAGGGTCACAATGCCCCATCCTGTTCTCACCATGCACAAGCACAGTCTTTGTGCTGAACCCAGATCAGTCTGAAAAGGGTAAGTCACTTCCTTCAGAGCCCTCTAACATTGCCATACCTTTATCGCTTTTTCCTAAAAGGACGTGATGCAGCAATCAACAGGAGACATAGAATACCATTGCTTTCTTTAAGACTGGTAGGACAGTCCTCTAATTCGAGGATGAACTCACTAGTTGCATCCAGCCAGTAGTTAACTCCTGGGATTCCTTGGCCAAGAAATACCAGGAAGTGGTAGCACTAACATTACCAAGGACATTGTCCACTTTCTCAAGATTCTCATGCTTAAACTTTTCTAGATTAAATAGGGCGAACACTCTCCCCAGTCAATTCCACAGGACCTTTCCAGTCAGTGTTCAACTCTAAACCAATTGGGATGATTATATTCTCACAAAATGTGGTTTTTCTCACAGCAGTACTTAAGATGTTCTTTATGTGACTTTATGCGATCTGTGATAATTTTTTGTAGCTCTTGGGGCTTTCTTTGACTTGCAACAGTAAGGCCAGCAAAAATCACTATTTTGGAATCTGAAATATAGGAAAACTAGAATGTAACATAAATAGTAAGATTTACACAGCTTTAAAAAAAATAACTTTCTTGGCATTCCAAAGAGCAAACAATAAAAAAATATTCCAGTTTGTAGCCTTCTCTGCACTGTTAAATTTGGCAACATTTTTTGACCATCAATAGGAATTGGCATTATAATCTGGATCTTACTCATTTAAAAATTGTGATAAGATATTTGAAAAAATGAAAATTTCAAAGTGTCTCATAATTAATATTAATTTTCTGTCCATGTTTTACACAGGAAGCCCATCTCACCTAAGTATAGGAGAACAGCAAGATATGGTCCATGACCCCTATGAATTTCTTCAATCTCCAGAATCTACAAATGCCAATAATTAATCTCAGATATACTGTACATATTAACCATATAACAGTTAATAGAATCCCATGAAACAGTACGCATTTTAACCCCAACCTTCAAATAAGAATTAATGTTTAGTAACATGTATACATTTTGGTCGGATAAAAAACGTCATGGTATTTGTACCATTAGAAACTATATTTTAACAGTATGTACAGTGGATCTGAAGGAGTTTCAAATTATGTATTTTAAAAAGAAACTTGTTTAATTTTATAAAAAATGGTTAACCGGCTGTTTATCATGTTTTAGATTGTTACACATACTTGATGTACAATTGTAGCTATATAGAAAATTTGCTAGTGTAAATTTATTTCATTTGTAATGTAAGTTTTAGAAATAGGATAGTTTTCGTATTTTTCGTCCTGTCAGTTTTTAATTGTCAAGATGGCCTGATGGAAAGAAAGTTATTGACTCTTCATTGGGAATGAAAAACAAAGTATTTATTAGAACTTTTTAAAATTAAGTGTTTGAAATTTGACATTGAATTATTTCTAAACATTATGTGGAAACCAGAATAATACATTCATTAACAATATTCCAAACATTAATAAATGTGTACTTGTGTTCTGAAATTTCCAGTTCATAATTTGTCAGCTAGTTCATAATTTATAATTTTGAATTAATTATGGTGCTCTGTATAGGCATCAGTTTAAGGTTGTAGCTTTAAGATTCCTATTGCAGAGGTCTCAAACATGTGGCCGAAGAGCTGCATGCAGGGTGCTGTATTTTTTTATATGGCCTACATTAACTCATCCTCAAGCATTGCTTCTCTGCTCTTTTTTTTTTTTTTTTTTTTTGTCTCGGAAGGCCCCAGCTTTCTTTTTGCAGGATTTCTTTTTCCCACTCTTCATATGGGTTGGGGCAGTATTTTTGTAAATCTTATGTGCAGCTATGATGGCACTGTTGATGATTGATACTGGTTAGGATAACCACATGGAGAGCCAGAAAGTGCATGTCAATGCAGTGTGTGTATACACAGAACAAAATAGTGGCTGAGGTATGCAACAATATAAAGGTTAAATGGGGAAGATCAAAATGCATCTGCTTCATTTTTTCTTGCTACAAGAACCCATCACTAAACAATCTTTTACTGCTTTACAATAAGTAGCAAATTTCTGTTCCTATAAAAATGAGTAATATTTTAATTTTTTAATAATTAATATATTTTAATTTTATTTAATAATGCATTTTAATATTTGTTGTCTTTTTCCTTTTTAAATATGTGGCCTCAACTCAGTGCATTTTATGTAAGGTACACCCATATTCATTTTGTTTGAGATCCCTCCCTTAGAATTTAGATAATGCTTGCTGTCAGGAAATTTCTCCTTAGTTCTAGTCTTCTCTCCTTGATTAGTTTCCATCCATTCCATTGCTTCTTGTCCTGCCCTCAGGTGCTTTGGAGAATAGCTTGACTCCTTCTCCTTTGTGGCAGCCCCAGAGATATTGGAACACTGCTATCATGTCATCCCTAGTCCTTTTCATTAAACTAAACATACCCAATTCCAGCAACCATTCTGTATATGTTTTTGCCTCCAGTCCCCTAATTATCATTGTTGCTCTTCTCTGCAATCTTTCTAGAGTCTCAACATCTTTTTTACATTGTGGCGACCAAAGCTGGATGCAGTATTCCAAGTGTGGCCTTACCAAAGCATTATAAATTGATATTAAGTTCACCTGATCTTGATTCTATCCCTTTAGAAGCAGCCTAGAACTGTGTTGGCTTGTGGGGGGGGGGGCAGCTATAGCCCATTGCTGGCTCATATTTAAGTCCCTTTCACAGGGACTACTATTGAACGAGGTACCACATATACTGTATGTTTTTCTTGCCAAAATGTATACCCTTACTTTTTTAACCATTGAATTTCATTTTGTTAGATAGCACCCAATGTTCAATTTTGTCAAGATCCTTCTATATCTAGATTAAGCCTATCTTCTGGAGTGTTGGCTATTTCTGCCAGGTTGGTGTTGCCTGCAAATTTGATGAGTTCCCCATCTATCCCCTTGTCAAATCATTGATGAAGATGTTGAAGAGCACTCGGTCTAAAACAGCAGCTTGGGATTCCCCACTGCATACTTCTCTCTTTGTAGATGCAGTTCCATTGAGGACTACACCATGAGTGCAATTGGCCAGCCGGTTATGAATCCATCTGGTGGTGATGCTGTCTAATCTACATTTTTCTATATTATCAAGTAGTAGATTATGGTCTATTTTATCAAATGCCTTACTGAAGTCCAAGTAAATTATATCCACAGCATTCCTCTGGTCTAATAATTTTGTCACTTTGTCAAAGAATGCCATAAGATTTATCTGGCATGATCTGTTTTTGACAAACCCACGTCGGCTTTTGGTTATTACTTTGTTTGACTCTAGATGTTCGCTGATTTGTTGCTTGATTATCTTTTCCAGAATCTTCCCAGGTATTGAGGTCAGGCTGATAGATCTGTAGTTTCCTGGATCCCCCCCCCCCCCCCCCATTTTTGAAGATTAGAACTACATCAGCTCTTTTCCAGCCCTCTGGCAGGTCCCCATCTACTTTCTCTCTATCCTCCTTCTCCCTTTTGTCCTCTTTCCTCATACCCTTCCTTACACCTTTCCTTCTTAGTTTAATAACTTTTTCTCCCTGTGGTTCAGTACTATATCCTCCATTGCTGCCATCTCAGAACAAATCTTCAAAAACATTGCAGGACCTTTGAGGGAGAGTAAATAGGTCATATTAGAATTCACCACAATGCAGGGAAAGGTAATTTAACGAAGTCAGATAAGTCTTTTAAACTTTAAGAGAGCCAGGTTCAATAGATTAGAAAGGGTTTCATGGGTGAAAATTTTAAGAAGGAAAAACAGTGCAGGAAGCTTGGGATGCTCTGAAAAACAAGATAATAAAAACCAACATAACAATACCACAGATAAAAAAAATAAAAGACTCCAGATCAGACCATCCTAATTACAGCAACAATGCTCCAAATGCAATTTCTCTCTTATGATATAGGGTCTCCTGCTTGAGCAGGGGGTTGGACTAGAAGACCTCCAAGATCCCTTCCAATTTTGTTGGATAGAATTCTCTGACAAACTGAGGAACAAAAAGGACAAGCATAAAAGTGGAACATAACTACAGCAGGATATTAGAAATAAGCCCAAATGTGCAATGATCAAGTCAGAATGGCTAAAACTCAGAATGAACTAAGACTTGCAACAAATGCTAAAAATAACAACAAAAAAGTTTCAATATGTAAGGAACAAGAAAAAGGTCAATCTATTAATGGGAAATGATAGCAAGAAGGTGACAGGCAGCAGGGAAAAAGCCAAACTGCTTAACTCCTTTGCATCTGTCTTCACCCAAAAGGAAAAGAAAATAGCCCTACCTATCAAAAGCAGCACCATAATACAAAGAACAGGAATGCAGGTAAAAATAGGCAAGAAATTAATAAGAGAACATCTATGTGTTTTGGAGAAGTTCAAATCTCCAGGACCAAATTATCTCTCAGGACAGTATCTGGGAACTACTTAATTAAATATTTCAGAACTCCTGAAGCACCGGGGAACTGTCAGAGGTTTGGAAAAGAGCTGATGTGATTACAATCTTCAAAAAAGGGTAAAAAAAAGTGGATGTAGGAAATTTTAAGTCAATCATCTTGACATCAATACCTGAGAAAATCCTGGAAAAGATAAGCAATGGATTTGTGAACATCTAGAAATGAACAAGGTGATTACTGGAAGCAGCATGGGTTTGTCAAAACTCAGTCATGCCAGAAAAACCTTATTGCCTTCTTTGATAAAGTGACCAAATTAGTAGGTCAGTGAAATGCTGTAGATATAACAGGACATAGTGCCATCAGCAGATGTTGTTGGCTGACCAACTGCTCTCAGCATGTTCCTTAGATATTCATCTATGTGGAGGGAAGCATGCAGTGGGTTGCCTCCAGAAACTTTCTTCGGCCTGGTGCTTTTCAACATTTTCATAAATCACATCTGGTGAAAAGATAGCCAACACCCAGAAAAGGATCCCTGAAGGGCTTTTCCTCTGGATTGCGGCTTTTTCAGCATACCAACTGAAGGAACCGGCATTCCTTTAATTTATATGATTCTCCTGGGTTAGGGAAAGTCCTAAAGTTCTCCCACAAGATCCTCCAATTCAGCAAAGGCCTACAAGTAGCTTGAGAAGCCAGAATGGGACCATTCTTAATGGTCATATGATCCTGCCCATTTCACCCCAGATTTTCCACCATGGCTGACCCACCACAACCTTTTGTCCATGGCTGGTCTTTCACTGGTGATAGCAACTTCTCTGCTGCTTCTCCAAGACTGCCTAATTATTATTTTTTTAGACTAGCATTTTTTATCGAAGCACATACACTGACGTTTTTTTTTTATCATTTGTAAACAAGAGGCGTAAGCAAAGCATTTTTAAGGTTACACAGGGATTGTTTTTTAAAATGAGGGGGGATACATGCAGAAAGCAAAGAAGCCAAAGACACGCAACTGCATTTCAGGATCACCAGGGGTATCGGGTGGGGTGGGGTGTGTCAGGGCAGAAGGTGAGCGCTGGTGATTGATTCACAAAGAGGGAGCATGTGAATTCGATGTAGTCGTAGGCAGAGGGAAGCTCCTGGCCACATCATGACCCAAATCTTCTCAGCCAATTCCTCCCACAGATGATTAAACACGCTTCTGGTGCTTCCAACTTCTGCCACAATTTTGGCATACACTTAATGGGAAGAGGCACAGGGAGCATTGGGGAGAGTGGTGCTTTGGTGGACTAAGGGAAGCTGCAGTGTCACGTTCACCAGCAGGGCTTGGATGGTGAGGGAAGGGGGTGATGGGCTTTGCCAACAGGGTTTGGGTAGTGTGGGAGGGGGGCTTTGCCAACAGCATTTGGATAGCATGAGTAGGGGATGACAGGCTTTGCCAGCAGTGGTATCATCACATTTTGGGCATTACATTTACACAACTTGTGGAAAAACCTGTTAGTTTGGTGGTAGGGAGGGAAGATCAAAATATGTGCGTGCACAGTTGTGGGAAATCGATTGCCTTCCACATGCCACCATCATCTCAATTTGAAGGATGAAGGTTTGGCCTCCATGCGGCTCCACTGTGACCATGATTGCATGCTGCCGAACATGCCCTCCCCATATGCCTCTTTCCCCTGACCCCAAGACATCTTTTGATTCAGAAACTGCCCCTTCTTTTATTTTCCACACCCAAAACATCTGTTGTTCTTGTTTTTCCTTGCATTATGAAGTTCTTTGCACTGGAGGTGGGAGAATCTTGATAGCTGCCTTGAAAAGAGGGAGTGAAGGCTGAGGTGTTGGATCACCATCCCAGCAGTTTTTTTTCCTCCTAACCCCCAGCCAAAGGGTTGCCCCCAACCCAGCAAAACTTCCCAAGAC